ATCGAAATTCAGCGAATGTGGAATGTGAAATGTTTTGTGATACCAGTGATTATTGGAGCCACGGGTACAGTTACCAGAGGGCTGAGGAAACATTTGGAACTAATTCCTGGTAAACACTCCATAGATTCACTGCAAAAAACAGCTATCCTGGGAACATCACACATACTACGGAAAGTGCTACAGTGCGAAGCTTGAAGCCTGAGTGGTGAGGTGCATCACTGGTCCAAGCAAAGGAATACCAGGAAATAAACCTGTGACAAGAGATGACGATGATAATAATAATAATAATAATAATAATAGTAGGTGGTAGTGATGCGAGTTGTTGTACACACTTGTAGTTTAAAACATGTGAAAACATTTCGCACTTACAAGTATTAGAAAACTTAAGCACGCTCCATTGCAGTTCATGCCATTAATTAAAATAATGCTTTAAAAGTTACCTCATTTATACAGGAACTGTGCTCGTCTATTCTTCAACAAATCAAACACTTTTTGATTGAATGCCGGAATCTCTGCAATCATGTCCTTATGAATGCTAAGTACAGCATGTGCCTTCAGACGTTCTTGACCCATTGAGTTCCTTAGATATGTCTTGACTCTTTTTAGAGTGCTGAAACAACTCTCGGATTCGGCGTTTGATATTGGAGTTGTAAGTACAATATCTGTCAGTTTGTATATTTCTGACAGAGCGGCTTCCAGATTGTTCTCTCTTATTAATGTCCATAGAGCAAGAACAGTCTTTATGTTTGCAAATGTGTCATGCCTATAAAGGACACTAAGTTTGCTTTCTAACTTATCTTTCAAGAGCACAGGATAATATTTTACAGCACTGATCACAAGCTCTCTAGGAAAGGCAACTTTATGTGCTGCAAATAATTACGGTTCAATTAATGAAAAACATTTTGTGTGATGCGCTTCTTCGAAACAATGTTTCATCTGGTTCACAATTATGTCACATGCATCTTTAGCTTTGGCACATGTGTTAACAAGTTTTGAAGTGCTGAATTGCAGTACGAATATTTAGAGCAATTACTGACAATTTCTGTATTGTGTTGTACAGAATGTCTACAAGTAAAAGAACGGAATTAAAAAATGACAACAAATGTTAGAATTCCCCATCATTCCACAAATTAGCCAGCCCTATGGACTCTCGAATTGTAACATCATCCCAACAATCTTCATTTTGAATCATGTCTAAGCACTGAAGTAGAGCATCCTTGTTGTTGAAGACAGTATTTACAACTCTACTATGAAAGTTCCAGCATGTTTCTACAGTCTTCGGAATCGCCCAGCCACACACAATTCTTAATAATAATGAAATAATAATGAAAAGCCCGATATAGTGAAAAAACCATTTCACTGATTTTACAGAGGAGCACGCTTTCTTCATTACTATGAGGGTGAGTCAAATGAAAACCTTAAATTTGTCATAAAAAATCGAAATTTCATGCCGTTATCCTGTAAGTTGGTAACTGTGCTACAAACAGCATGCAGAATGGCCTGTAGGTTGCAGCACAGTGCAGATGCACGAACACTGTCACAGCACCAGTATAACATGGCTGCCCCACTTGAGACTTTCACCAGGGAAGAACAGCATTCTGTTATTCGGTTTTTGTGTAGTGAAGGTGTGAAACCTGTTGAAATTTATCGAAGAATGAAGTTTCAGTATGGTGATGCATGTTTGTCATAGCAGCAAGTGTACAAATGGAGTAGGAAGTTTGCAAATGGTGTGACTTCAGTGGAAGATGCTCCTCGTCCGGGTCAGGCACATCGAGTTGTGACTCCTGAGAACACTGCAGCAGTTGAAGCCATAGTGAGGGAAAACTGCCAAGTGACATCGAATGAAATTGCAGCAAGTTTATACATTAGTCATTGTTCAGCACATCACATTGTGTACGATGTGCTCCAGTTTCACAAAGTGTCTGCAAGATGGGTGCCATGGCAGCTGACTCCTGAATTGAAAGACTGACATATTTATGCTTGTGAAGAACTTCTGCGGCGCTTTTGAACGAGAAGGTGATGACTTCCTTGCAAGAATCGTTACTGGGGACAAAACCTGGGTTCACTTCCACCAACCGGAAACAAAGAGAGTGAGCAAGGAATGGCTCCATTCCTCATCTCCAAAGCCAAAGAAGTTTCGAACACAACCATCAGCAGGGAAGGTTATGCTGACTCTCTTTTGGGACGAAAAAGGCATCATCTTGGAGCACTACACGCCTAGAGGGACCACTGTCACCAGTGCATCATGCTCAGATCTCCTAAAAATCATCTTTGGCCTGCAATCAAATCAAAGTAACGTGGATTGCTGTCCACAGGTATCCTTTTGCAACATGACAATGCAAGGCCCCATACTGCCCATGCAACAGTTGTGACAATCAATGACCTGCAGTTTGAGTGTCTTCCTCATCCGGCATACTCAGCAGACCTTGCCCCAAGTGATTTCCATATGTTTGGACCACTCAAAGAAGCAATGGGAAGAAAGACGTTCCGTTCTGATGAAGAGGTACGCCATGCAGTGCATGAGTGGTTGCGCCAACTACCAAAGGAATTTTTTTCTAAAGGAATTTAAGCGCTGGAGGACTTGCATTGAGCATGGGGGAGATTATGTTGAAAAGTGATACAGCTTTGTACCACTTGTGCACAATAAATAATACTCAAAAAAATAGTTAAGGTTTTCATTTGACTCGCCTACGTAAGTTTAGCTGATGAGCGTAACAGTGGATGAGGAAATATATCTCTTATCTTTACCTGGACCCCACTCTTCCTGCCACAAAACGCGGGAGTGCCACCATAGGATTGAGCAATTAGTTTTTGTTCAAGGTTGTATGGTTCTAATTCTTGTTTAAATACTGATGCTAAACCTTCTGAAGTTCGATCCTGAATGTGAACAAAGGAAATGAATCTTTCAACAGGACCACTGCTATCGACATACCGTAGCAGAGTAACTAATTGGGACTTGCATGACACGTCATACGTTTCATCTGCCTAGACAGCTACATATTTTGCATTTGAATTTCTTGTTTGACCGTTTCCTTGTATACCGCATATATACAGTCCAGTAAATCGTTTTGAATTGTTTTCTAGGTGTTTTTTGACACAGTTGCACTATTTAAATGTTCACTTAGAATACTATCTAAAGCTGCTAGTTCAGATATGAGATCCAAAAATATCCCGCGATTGTAAGAACTCTTGCACTCTTCATGTCCCCGAAGAGGAAGTTCATGTGCTCCACAAAACTTTATACAATTAATTACCCTATTTAATATGTGTCTGTTTCTATCCACAAGTTCATTGTGACGCTGAAGAGAAACCCTATAGCTATCATTTAATTGGGTGAAAATATTGACAGAACCAAAGAGATTAACTTTTACATCATTTTCAATATGCCTTTGCAATGCTTCGTGTTTTCTAACTCTTTATTACTTTTATGTAATTTCATTGGGTGAAAATATTGACAGAACCAAAGAGATTAACTTTTACATCATTTTCAATATGCCTTTGTGATGCTTCATGTTTTCTAACTCTTTATGACAAAGAGTTATACCTGTCACAGTCCAACTCGTTTCCCCACCAAACAATAAACACACAAAACAAAAAATTGATTTCTTTTCTTCACTTACAGTCAGCCATTTCTTCTTGTGAAACCAAGATAACAGAAACGTTCTTTTCTGAGTCTTGCAGTTCTGATCAGGTTTGAAATCTGTTGGTTGATGCGCGCCAAGAGGTTTTACTTGTAATTTCTCTTCTAAACTCAAAATTGAGAACGGCGATTTCAGAAGGGCGTCCACCTTATTCATATTAATCACTAATTCTAATACAAATACAATATTAACCAGAAACCTAATTTGGAAATTACACTTGAAAAACAGCTTTAATTTAGGCCTACGCTAAAATTACTTTATTCCCGAAATTCTATCTTCTCCACTGCTCAAAACACAACTGAAAGATGGAATCTGAATGATGTCTGAAAACCTACTCTCTGTCTAATCATGCAAAGAACATGTTACTTAAGGCTGGAAGAGTAGAGGTAAGTTCACAATAACATCCACACTCCACCCGTCCCTTTCAGCCTTGTGTAAAGTGTTCTTTTTTATTGCGGGCTTGTCAAAACTAGCCCGAAGCATGACATTTCGAGACATATGCGACACTTAGAATCCCTGAAAGGTTCACTGAACTTAAGGCTGCTAATGATACACACAGTAAGGGCTAGAGACAAGCTAGCCCCTGTGTTATTGTAGCCGTACAAATAAGCTGTGAAATGGCCAAGACATCACTATTGCATTTTCGTGTCTCCTTAATTACATCATGATAACGAGAAATATTAATATTTTGATACAAATTTGATCTCAATAAACAGAATAAAATATGAATGAATATGAAAATTCAATACTACAACAAAATCAGGTGGGGCTTAGCCCCTAATGACACACTGCTCCTGGTCATACTGATTAAGTGTTGCTGTCAAGTGGGTGGCAGTCTTGCTTAATATTTAGGAGGCAGAGAACATAAACTGGCTAGCTGCTTTGGCTCTCAGGAGCCTGTCCTTATTTGCTTCTTTATAATTCCATCTTGGTTTAGTCCTGTTTCAATGTGTTTTGTGTTTTTCATAATTTCTAGGCAGATGCCTAGATAGTACTTGAAATCAGCCAAAGCGATTTCCTTCCACATCCCTTCCAATTCACATTGTTTGGTATTATGTTATCATTGGTGACCCACGTAACTTTAAAATTTGCTGCCATGTTGCCTGACAGATTTAATGCTGCCAAGACCCCCAGAGCCTAACCATATAATTTACCAGCAAGAAGTCTATACAGTGATGTTAGGCTTGGTTATGTTTCTACAAATAAAGTGAGTTTGATAGAACTAACGTGGGCGGGGTAGTGATAACTTCCAAAGGTTGACCTGTCACACTGATGCTGTGCAGTATGAGCTACCGACCGCCATTAAGAAAAAAAGAAAAGGCAGGCATCTGTCATAGTGTCAAGGGCTGCTACAGCTGAAGCACTTACTGGTGGACTACCTAGACCGTTTTTGCTATCAGATTAATTTTCTGCTTCCAGGTTTGATAATTACTCGGCTCCTATGGTCGTTGATGGGATTCCTGTAAGCTTGGGTCTGTGGGACACGGCAGGCCAGGAAGACTATGACAGGTTGCGTCCCCTCTCATATCCTCAGGTAATCAGGAGCAGTCATAGTAGGAATGAAGAGTGTCTGGTAGGTAGTTAGCCACATGCTGGCTCCAGGTTACAGGGTCAAAGCTGCCTGTTGTTCACTTGGTTTACTGCTCACCACTGAAGCTGGAGGGAGACTGTAGTCTTTGAAATTGTTGGCGAACTTGTACCAGACCACAGCGGCCTCTGTAGTCTAGGGGTAACGTCCCCACCTCATGACTCAAGGTACGCGGGTTCAAACCCGGTGGAGGTCGTGGAATTTTTAAGGGCGGAAAAATTCAGGGAACAAGTCCTCCAGGAGGGACTTTAAGCCATGGGTCCCGTGTCATAGATTTATGGCACGTAAAAGATCCTCATGTCTCTAGGAGACCTTTGAGCTAAATTAGGCAACAAGTTTCCTGCCCAAATAGTTTCCAATGCCTCTGGTAGATGGGGGAAATATCAGGTACCGAGGGCCGACCTCATTGGCTGAACGGGGCTGATAGCACGCACCAGTACTGGTAGGGTATGGCAGCAGTAGAAATTAAAGGGTGACGCACAATGGACCAGTAACTGGTCTAAGTGCATGGGGAAACCCACCCCTTCTAATAATTCAATTCAATTCAATTCAATGCTTTATTTATTTACGTGCCGAACTCAACAGCGGAGGCCAATTACAGAGTCAGCACGGAAAATATAAAACAACAAACAACAGACAATAATAAAAATCAAGACAATACACACATAGATAAAAACAGGTCAAAAACGTTAAGTATTTGGAAAATTAAAAACAATTTACAGCAAAAAACTAATTGCATACTTAGCTCAAAAGCCAGTGACAAGTTAAAAAGACAGTGCAAATAGTAAAAAACAACCAAAAGTACAAAAATTATCAAACTAAACAATTCAAACTTAAACTAGATTTACTAAAAATGTCTACATGTTCGCAAACAAAATTTGCAGCAACAACACATCTAGCTGTGGGACAGCGACTGAAAGAACAGCTAAATGTAGAAAAATTTCGAATGTTCCGAGAAGGAACCCGCAAACCGACCGCATCAAGGACAGAGGAGCAATATGTTGTGCCTCTAAAAACATTTATTAAAAACAAAGCATCAATATGACGCCGTCTGACATCCAAGGTTTGCAGATTTAGTTTATCCAAAATACTAAAATAATGATAATCTATATCTTTAAAAAATCTATTATGACAGAGAGCTGCAAATTTTCTTTGTATACGCTCAAGTTTGCTGGAGTCAGTATTCGTTATCGAATTCCAAACAACAGAAGCGTACTCCAGTTTGGATCTGATTAAAGCAGTATACAGCATCAAAAGACTGTCTAAGGTAGAGAAGGAAAACGTAATGGTGCGAATTAATCCTAGTAATTTCATAGTTTGTGAAAATAAAATATCTACATGTTGATGAAAGTGAAGCTTTGAATCGATAAGTACTCCAAGATCCTTAATACTATCAGTTCGCAAAATAAAAAAATTTCCGAGTCTGTATTGATATTTCAAAACAGTAGTTTTCCTGGAAAAGGAAATAACATTGGTTTTACTAAGGTTCGGTTTCATTAAGTTTACCGAACACCAATCTTGTACCCGTTCAATATCCGACTGTAGAAGAAGACAGTCATTAAGTGTTTTGATAGCTCTATAAACTTTAAAATCATCAGCAAAAAGTAAACAACTGGAGTGATTAATGACTTCAGGCAAATCATTAATAAAAATATTAAAAAGCAGAGGCCCTAAAACAGAACCTTGAGGAACGCCAGAAAGAACAATAAAAGGAGTAGAAAATAGGCCTAAAAAACGAACACAAGACTCTCTGTCTGTTAAATAACTGCGTAACCAGTTTACATAACCAGAAGATAATCCATAATTGTTGAGCTTATAAAGAAGCAAGGTATGGGATACAGTATCAAATGCATTACTAAAATCAAAATAAATAGAGTCAACTTGGCCTTGCGTACAAACTAAGGGGGAAACAAAGTCGAGAAAAGTGACTAAATTAGTAGTGGTAGATTTAGATTTTATAAAACCATGCTGAAAAGGGCTAAGTTTAGATTTAAAAAATTGATAAATGTGGTCATGTATAATAAATTCAAATACTTTAGAAAAATTGTTAAGAATAGCAATAGGCCTATAATTTCTAACTGAAGAAGTTTTACCTTTTTTAAAAACGGGAACAATGATTGCTTGCTTCCACAATTTGGGGAAAGAATTCTGAGACAGGCTAAGATTAAAGATATATCTAAGTACAGGTACTAAAATTTCAGAACAGCCCTTAATGACAAAATTCGGTATACCATCAGTACCAACCGATTTCGTCGGTCGCAGCCGTTTTATAGCGTTTTGTACATCACGATTGGAAATATAAGCTAAGGGTAAATTATCCGTACAAAGTTTATCAAGAGAAAGTGTGTCAATACCAAGAGTACTTCTATTAAAAACCGACTGAAAGTGTTTAGAAAAGGACTCAACAATATCGTGAGGTTCATTTAAAAGAACACCATCATCATCAAGATAAGTTAAATCATTATACTTTTTCCTATGTTGAGACACATACTTCCAAAATTGTTGCGGATTAGATTTTAAATTTTGGTCGACAGATAAGAGCCAAAGATGTTTATCGGACTTTATTGTTCTTTTTACTAGTTTCCGATAAAAAGAAAATCTATCATATAAACGATCAGTCTTGTGCTTCTTGTAGCGTCTATAAAAATAATTCTTCCTTTTAACATAAGCTATAAGCCTACCAGAAAACCAGATAGGGTATTTACGCTTCTTAACCCAACCAGAAGGAACAGCTAGGTTAATGGCTTGCATTACAGCAATATTTAGTTGATCAACGGCAGCATCAACAGACGTTTCATTGTACAGCGCAGACCAATCATAGGTGAATAGGGCATTATAAAGTAATGCATAGTCCCCTGCAGAATATAATTTACAAGGAGTACTAAAATTTTGGTTACTTTGCCGAAGTGGAATTTTACAATCAATAATAAAAGGGGGGTGAAAAGGGTCAGGATGAACAAGTCCTTGATCAACAGAAATCAATGAAAAGTTACCAAAATTCGAAAATACAAGATCAAGCAAATTAAGTCCATTAACCGGATGATTATATTGACTAAAACCAAGATAACAAACGGCTGAGTAAATCACATCTCCACGAAGTTTGGTATAAAAATGACTGGTTGGTGAAGGAAAACCATTATCCCAATCATAGCCAGGAACATTAAAATCACCAAGCAAAAGTACCCGATAATTTAAAGTATCTAAAGAATTTTCTAAAAAATTGAAATAATTATTAATAATATCAACCTTAATATCAGGTGCAAAATAGTGATTGCCAATGAGCAAGTTACGGCCATCAGATAATGTAGCCTCAACCCAAACAGATTCGTGAAAAAATTCAAGGTCGGGTCTGCGTTTGATGCCGAAAACAGTGTCTGAAACAGCCGTCAAAACACCACCACCACGCAACTTGTCAATGCAGTCTCTATCAGAACGATATACAGTATACGTTCCAGGAAAAAAATCTTGAGTGGAAAAAGATTCATTTAACCACGTTTCAGTTAAACATATAATTTCATAATCAAAGGAGCACACAGTGTTAAATATTTCAGTAGATTTGGTGCGAAGACCTCTTACATTTTGATAAAAAATTTCTAAATTGCCATTGCCCACGCGTAAACTACCACAATGAGGGGTAAAGGGGGAGGCAGCCATTACATATTACTTCCGTAGCTGCCTCCACTAGCCTCCTCACCTATTAAGATCATGTCATTATTGTTGATGGTCCGGGAGGGCGGAGAGGTGACTGGACTGCCTAGATCCACCTGACTACAAGCCTTAGAAATTGATCGGCCACCAGTAACAGGGGTACTGGGGGAGTACATCTGATCAGGTTTAAGTTTACCGTAAAAGGGGGCAATCAAGCACCCTGTAGGCCAAACACCAGTATTATTGATAAGTGGAAATTCATCTTCAAGAACTAAAACATGATAAGAAGAATAAGTATTAAATTTAGTTTTCAGTCTGGTGCAAATCAATTTCTTTAAGCTCAATTGCTCCTTTAAAGACTTTTCAACGTCAGCAGCTGAAACCTCTGGACAGAATCTGGAAACAAAGAGAGCTTTGGTTCTTTCTTTTTTAACAACAATAGGCAAGGACGCAGAGTTTCGTACCCCTATAAGGGGTTGACGTCTAGGTTTGATTGTATTATTCACAGAGACTGCGATAGGTTTCTTTTTACGGACAACAGGCACAAATCCCTCGGAATCCGTTGGCACATCTGGTTTAGAAGGCAGGCCAGCTGACGCGACATCCCTATAGGACAAAACTACAGCATCAGCAGAACTACTAGTAGCAGGAACTGATGACTTAGCAAGCACTGGAAAAGCACCAGTAGACACTGTACATTCACTAGGCATAGACCTGGACACAGGCTGTGAGGACATTGACCCTGTAGTAGCGTAATTTACGTTCATAGGCGGATTTACCATTAACTCCTTACATTTTTTTAATTCCAATTTTAAGGAGGAATTATCATGTTTTAAATGAGTCACATCATCATTAAGTTTGTGCACCAAGTCTAAAAGTGTTTTTAAAATATCAACCGCGCTCTGACTATTAAGGCGGATCGTCTCTAATAGGACCATCGACGCCTCATATTTGCCATCCTCAAAAATAGGAGGCAATTCCAGTACCCTGTCCGGAGAGATAATTTTCAAAGGCGAAACAGCCTCAGAGATCTCAGTGGCAGCAGACCGAGTCTTCACAGGAGTATCATCACGTCTCAAGGATCTAAGATTCTTAATGCAGGACGTGCACTTGTAGGTTGATTCCCCATTCACCATAAGGCAACTATACTCAGCTTCACTGATATTGACACAGCTGAGATGGTATCTAACAGCACAAGGCCCTACACACTTGATGAACTTTTGCTTTCCGTAGAAGCCCTTACTACACAGGCCACAAATATCTTTGCTCGCAGGCATAGTAGCCTGTTCGCTAGAGTTCACTACACAAACACACACTGCACCGCACAGAGGGAGCTCACGCAAAACACGTCTGCTCGCAACGAGCGTCGCGCGAATAATAATAATAATAATAATAATAATTTACCAGACCACATGGTGTCACATCCCAAAAGATAGTAGTGTTCATAGTCACTGCTGTGAAAACCACAGATACAACAAATGTGGTGAGAAAGTTGTTATGAAATATGTGTACATGTGGATTGAGTCCACAGTGACAGTCAGACTGTGCTGTATACATTGAGCTTTCATCATAGTGAACTATGGAAGAAACAACTTCACAGTATATGGCCCCACAAACTCGTCTGCATGTCTGAATGTCTGTGGCTGCTGTGTGTCACACAGGTAACATGATGTTCTTAGGACATTGTCCATCTTCCTGAGTTGTGTCTTGGAAACTGGACCTGTTTTGAGAGAGGCAGGATTCTTGCTCAGCTGGGTCTGCTGCTGGACTAGTGATTGAGACTGGATGTTCCTCATGGCTTCCCCATCTGGGCAGGAGCCCCTCCTCTCTTACACTTGATGGTGGAAACAGATCCAGTTTCTGGAACTTTATCTTTGGATCTAGATGATGGACAGTGTCCAGAATAATAGCGAGATTTGTCCCCTTTGACATACTCACACACACTTCCATCTATTGAAACTGGACTAATCTGACTCTCCATATTTGGATTTCTTGAAGAAATAAAAATCCATCGACATACGAGAAAACATACTTGTCTCCTCCATCTTTGCCAACACTGTTATATGTGATGTTTGACATTTCCAGACGGACGTGTTTTTGATTTGCTTCAGTGTGACTAGTCCATCATCTTTTGAAAATGTTACATCGAAATGGTACCCAGAAATCAAACACCACTGTCCTGATGCACCCATGATATTAGTAGGTAAGTGAACAGCAGATAATCAGAAAATACATTCATTATCCATTTTAAAACTGAAATTGTTGAAAGTGACAGAAGTTTGTTGGTTACATACAGGCAAGGATTGGCCACTGGTGAAATCTGAAGCAGTCAGGTCGTTTATTCCTTGTTTCTTCTCTCCTTTGTTGCTGCCATAACTTTATTCATTTATTTAAAAAAAAATTACCCCCTTTGAGGAAGATAAAGAATGTGTTTGTGTGCAGTTAGTTGTTTGACCTTGCTGTGGTGGTAACTGAAGGGCGTGTCAGGTTTTGCGCACACAGACACATGTAGTTTCAAGATGTTCATTAATTTTCACCCTGAAGCAGGCTGGTAGGTCACACACAGTGGTGTCACATTGTAGATTTTTGGTTTTGGAACAGAGCCTATTTAGCTTGACCAATCGCCACTAGCCTGTCATATTCAAGATGCTTTCTGTTGGTATTCACCATTGCCATTCACCATAATGTATTTTACTCTATTGATGAATTTGTCGAGCATGCAAGGGGCTCAAAAGTTAAAAAGTTCATAAATGGTCTGTGTGCGTGAATTATATATTGTTGAGACTTGCTTGTTGTAAGTGTAGTAGTATGTATGATGTCTGTTTTTGTTATGAATTTTAATATTTCATAATGTAACTGTTTTAGTGATATGGCTTGCCAGTGTGTGTGGAATGGCAAGGCATGGATTTGACTGTGGTTTTTCCACAACCAATGTGTGTTGTCCTGACAACTTGAGCTATCTGTGAGAGGCCTGATTATATATTTTATTGGACAAAGGATGAATGATGTGTAGTCATCATGAATTTGTAATATGTGACATGTTTTATATCCAGCCCTACGGGATGATGATTGGATCCATGAAGTGAAAATAAATGTAAATGTAAATTGCCTAAGTACAAAGTAAAGAAACAAGATCTGCTGATTGTGACTGAGATTAAGCAGTTCACTACAACAGTCACATTTGTCTGGATCCTTGAATTCTGTCTAATAAGTAACATCTGAGCTGTGAATTCTGCTGAGGAACTGAAAAGTTAGTCTATTGCTGGAACAGAATTGTCATTCATTCTGGTGGTTACATGGAGAAACAGAGGATTTGTCTGTTATTGCTTGCTCTTTTGCACATCTGTGACAAAACAATAAATGTCAGAGTAATTCATCCTCGGATATACTTGTTGAACAGCCTGTATAAGAGCAGAAATGTCTTGTATTGCTACTTGTTTTGGTGTAATTTTGTTTGTTTGAACTGAAATGTAAACTGTACGTGTACTCCTCTGTCCAATTGGCTTGATGTAACAGTTTTGTGTTAATATCCCTGCAAGCAGTAACAGAAGTCCATAAGGCAACAAATGACATCAATGTATTTCACACAACATCTCAGTATGAACAATTGGATCTTTTAAAATAGCTTCCACTGTTGAAAATTCTGTAAATTTCTGCTTCTGTGGTTCTTGCTAATGGTACAAATGTTCATTGATACCCTTTATGGTGATTTTGTTTAAAATACAGGAACGAAGATAGATCTGCGTGATGACCGAGAGACACTGACAGCTCTTGCAGAGCAAGGCCTCTCGCCAATAAAACGGGAACAGGGTCAGAAGTTAGCAAACAAAGTAAGAGCAGTGAAGTACATGGAGTGCTCTGCCCTCACACAGAGAGGACTGAAGCAGGTAGGGTCACATGCAGGTAGCCAAGCTGGTCAGACCTTCCATGGCATGAGGTACTCAGTCTATCTGGGTTAATGTTGAGAAGTTATTTTAAAGTGGACCAAGGTTCAGTGTTGCACTTGAGTGGATATCACTCCTGCCCCCAGTTCTGAAGGTTCCACTTAATGTCTTGTTGGGTGAGAAACTGGCTGGCTATCCTGATTGTCCAATCATCATCATCATTGTGAGTCGGGGTAGCGTAGTCGGCATAGCGACTGCCAATGGGCTGGACGACCAAGGGGTCGGAGTTCAAGGCTCAGTAGGGTCAGAATTTTCTTTTCTCCATATTGTCCAGACTGACTCTGGGGCCCACCCAGCCTCCTATCCAATGGGCACTGAGGGCTCTTTCCCTGAGGGTAAAGTGACAGGGATGTGAAGCTGACCACTCACCTCCACTAGTACCAGGGTCAACAAAATGTGGATCTATACATCCACTCCCCCATACACCTTCATGGCATAGTGCTAAATTAGTTAAGCACAGGGACAACTTTACCTTTATTATTATTGTTATTATTATTATTATTATTATTATTATTATTATTGTTATTATTCCTCCCCCAGGCATGGTACCCCAGATTAAGCCACGAGTTCTTCCATCCAAATTTGTTTAAATTAATTCACTAATTGTATAATGAACTAAATACCGACAGTGTCATTAAATAAATCATAAGTAAATAAGCACACCATCCAGGACCCCGTGAACCTGCATCTCTCCCATTTGTCACACTCAGTTGACTGTCCCTTGTACCTTGACCTTGAGTGATCTGTTCACTCAGTTTGTAGAAGAGTGACCGTTGGTTCAGGAGTGTCCATGCCTTCATATTTAGCCCTCCTGCTTTGCTATTCAGTAGGTCTGAGCGACCAGATGACTTGACTGCAGTGGCTCTAGGCAGATGCTGGGATAGTACCTGAAGATGTGCATGAGGATGAAGCAATTCTTGTATCTTTAGTTTTTGTTTTCATGTTTGCCTTATGTGTCAGTTTGCTACGTCACAACTCTGCTGACGTTTGAAAGAATAAATCAACCATAAGTGTTCAGACTGACACAGTGTGTGTCAATTGTGCTGCTGTGTACACGAGTCCTTTGTTAGAAGATGAAATGAAGGCCCACTTTATGTCAGATTGCTTTTGCAACCTATTGACACAGGATTTTTCGTTTCATGTGCTCATGCTTTACAGTTGGGTATTCTATGAGTGTATAGTGACTGTGCTAATTGTGCTGTAAAGCAGAACTCAGTATTCATGTGGGTTTTCAGTTACCTGTGACTTGCTATATAGGTCTGACTGTAGTTATCAGAAATGTAATGCTTCATTATTACTACATGTGCGCCAGTTCTCAAAGTAATCGCACGTGTGTGGTGTTCAGATAAATGTGTTTAATTACTGGCTTTGTCTTGTGGTTCCCCTTTTCCAAAAAAAGTTCTGCCACTGTAAAGGTAGAATCGTTACTTGTTTGTTTGATGATGCCAGTTATAAGATACTGAATTGGAAAGTTGGAGAGTGGTCGTGGCTTGACCTGAAGTTCTATCCCTGCACTTGCCTGGATATGTCACGGTAGCCAGTCTCTGGATGCAGTGTGATCTGTGACTCTACACTGGGTACGCAAGTGTTGCCTACAAGTAAGGGGTCCCTTGTCTTCACTGCATTTCATACTTATCTCTGACTTCAACATCAGTTCACAGTTTTCTTCAGAGCTTTTTCTTCATGAAAGGTACTAGGCTCTGAATGTGGGACGTTCCAGTTCCTAACCACTTGAGTTGGCATGGTTTTCATCAAATCTCTGTACTGTTTGGTACATGTTGTATTGTTCTGATACACACCTTTGTGTTGTCTGATACAAATATTTCTGTTGCTCGGTAGGTTTTTGATGAAGCTGTACGTGCAGTGCTTCGACCCGAGCCCCAGAAGAGACGCCAGAGGAAGTGCTCTGTGCTTTAGAACACTCAGATCTCATGCTTTGCGCACAGATGAAGACGGAGTCTGGGGTGCTGCTGAGCCTTCGTTCATCTTTTCCAGAGTATCTGTATTGCTAAGCATCTATAAGACATTTCATTGCGGAATGCTCTTGATCTGCCAACAGTGGTAGATCCTGTTCTTTGGTGTACGCTACCTTTATCACAAACAGAATCAGGCATAGGTTGTAGTTTTAGCAGGTTCTGTTCATCAGTGCCATACAGGACTCCTCGTTACAGTGGAACCTGCCAAGAAACCTGTTGGCTTATAAGAAGTCATCCCGCATGACATTATGTTCTTCTTCCTGATTGAAGGAGCTCTGCTCTCTCTGATGTTGCTAGTAGCCAACTCAAATATTTTTACACATGCTTTCACGTAGAAGTCCTCATGGGGCGGCAGTTTGTTGTCAGTACTCTTACTCGGTGTGCTTGCTGCCTTCCTCCGGCAGCCTGAAAAGTCTGTTATATTAGAATTAAATGTTACCAGAAGCAAAAGCCAAAAGACCATAATTTTTTTTTTTTTTTACTTTTCTTATAAATATTTATATCAGTTCCATGTACTGGAACATAAAGAGCATGTTAAACTTTCCAGACTGCAGAGTAACTTTAACATTTGGCCAAGGTAAGAATATTAGCATGTATATGGCCATCAACCTGCAGAGGATTACTGATGTAAAAACATGTAGGTGCTTGATGGTTCACTGATAATGTAGGGACTTGGGGAGTTCTCTGACTTAAAGGGGTTGCCAGTTTTGCAGGTTTTGCTCTCTCTTGCAGTGGACATGTTTTGGAAGGTGCAAGGATATGCAGACAGTTACTGTGTCTGTCACTGTCAGTTCTGGAGCTCAGGATTTGTAAGACACAGTATGGTGATGGGTTGTTGCTTCCATGGCATGTATAATGTTGCCAGCAGTTGTGTACGGAAGCACTAGATGCAGGCCATCAGCCTGTGGAAATTATTGCTCTCTTCATGGCTGCCTAAACACAAGTTGCACTTGACTGGCAACTTGTCCCTGTGAGGCAGAACATGACAGAAAATAAATTTGGGCAGATCTGTGTCTTAAAAAATTTGTTTGCTAAGGAATAGAATTGATCTGAGTGGTTTGTGCTGGACTTTAGGTTTTTCACAGTGGTGACTATGAAGAATATGTATGGTTTTCTGGGTCCTGCTGCTGTGTAGTTTGGGGGTTCAGCCTGATATTTTGAAGGAGCACATCACATACATATTCAGGGTCAAAGAGATGAGCCAAGCCGGAAGCAAGCAGACCACTGTCTCTCAGAATGGTGGGTTTTTGGGGCTGTAAATAATTTTGTGTCAATGTACCATTACAAAGAAAAATGACTACATTTTTTTGTGAGAAAACATTAAGTTCCTGTGATGGTTGCGTGCCATCACTGGCCACTGTATGAGTACTGCCGTTGTATTTTGCATCAGTTTCACCTCTGTGGAAGTTGAGGCATGGAAATGTATTTGGACATATTCTTCATGTGAGTTCAGATTACAGTTGTGGTCACAGGAGAAGAGGAATTGCATTTGGTGTAGAATATTTAGTTTGTAAATGATGCATAAAAAACTGTAAATTGATAAGTAAATTCTACCATTACGGTTATGTTTCTTATAGGAGAATCTCATGCCAGTGAAGTAAGTGTTATTGAAGGAAAATTTTACTTGTTTTATTTCATCTAATCTAATGGTGCAATATATTAGTGCTATGAGTTGATCAACAATTTATTGCTGTTAAGATTTGGAACTGTTCATGACAATGCAGTCTTGCAGAACAAAAAAAAGGTAGGCTCATTTTTTAATTGATTCAATTATGATAATGATGTAATAATGTTTTTTACTTATTTATATACATAAAATAATTTTGTGTGTGTGTATTTGCTTCTAAAAGAATTTAAAAAACTGTAATGCCTGCAGTCTCCTGTTGGTGTGTGCGAGCAAGAGGCTTTCCAGTGACAGCAGTTGTGTATCACAGTTTATTTTAGAGATGGTTCTCTCTTTTAGAACAAGAAATGCCTTTGTGGCCATTGTACACATGAGTGATTTGTGACCAAAGAACATGGAAGGAGTGGGTATAGTAGTAATCAGATTTCTCACATGAGGGTACCTTGTGGTCTTGGGATGTCATATTCAATTCATTCAAAGGTTTCTGAGCTTGATCCCTGGTCAGCTCTGTGTGTGCGTGTGTATGTGGTTTTTTCTGCTCACAAATTGAACTCTTCATCTCTACCAAGGATAAAACTTTGGAATATGTAGTTTGGAGTCCACATGAAGCTGTTGGTCCACTCTGCTGACCATCCCAATCACTGGTGGCTCTGGACTCCACTCTGTGAGTGCCCTTACTTCGGAAATAGAGTGTACACCCTTGCCTAGGTAGGCTGAGGATACAGAGGTTAACACTGACCAGTATGGAGGCACGAGAGAGACAACATATTTCTCCAGTAATATGGCTGCCTGTTGCAGATCATCATGAGCAACTGGGCCCTTTGTCAACTGTTATAGCCCCATTCATCTTGTAGTCTCTTCACATGTCTTCCTTGATCCGTGGGAATTGTAATTTTTAATAGCGTGGGAAGTCTTTCTCTGCAGTCTGTTGTGTTGAATCCAGTTGGCTTTGTATGTCACAGTTCTGTCCAGCATGGGGTTCAGTTATAGTTCTTTGAGCATGCCTCTGTTTCTTTACTGCACTGAAGTGCATTTCACTGTTCTCATACATTTCATTTCTGAATTAGCATCAGCTGTTTGGTGCAGATAAGTGTTCTAATTTTCCAAGAACATCACATGATAGATGTGATCAGAGACTGACTAGATGGAGATGGCTTACTTGAGTACTGAGATGATGGAAAGTATAGGATTGCAGAAGAGGACAGTGTTGTATGAAACTCTGTCCTTTGGCCCACCCTGTACTGGATGCAGTGCCAAAAGGCACATAATTGAGTGGAGTGCATTAAGTTTCATGCTGGACCGGAGAATGTAATGTCACAATAAATTAAATCTGGAGTAGCTAAGGCAGTTAGGCACTAGCTAGGCTGCGCCATAGCTCAAGCGGTTAGTCGCTGGCTTCCCACCGCAGCGGCCCGGGTTCAATCCTGAGTCTGGTCAGGTGGGATTTGTGATGGACAAAGTGGCTCTGGGGAGGGTTTTCTCCGAGCACTTCGGTTTCCCCTGCCAATCTTTATTCCACCAAATTCTCCATCATCATATTCACCCAGAGCAGGTACAATAGGCCAGTCAGTGGCTGCCATGCCGAGTGGACCAAACTGGACTCCACCCCCCACTAAGCGAATTAAAAGAAATTAGGCACTGGCTTCTCACCATGAAGGCTTAAGTTCAGTTTCGGATAATTTCACATGAGATTGGTGGACAAAGTGGCACTAGAGCTCCAGTTCTTCCCTGCTAATTCTCACTCTGCCATTGCTCCATATTCATGTATTCCCCCCCAAACCAGGCAGCACATTATCATGTGCTGTGTCTGACCTGGTGCTTCATCTCAGTCCTGGCTCTTGGCTGACTGCAGGGTGAGAAAGTGAATGTTATTGTGCACTTTAATGGCAATAGAATTGCTAATTGAAATGTACTCATTTCATGGCTTTTTCTATTTCCTAAATTTCGTGTGATATTTATGGCCTATTAAAATACACCAATAGGAAACTGCACATTTTTATTTGTGTTGTAGATATTAGTGTAGTGGTTACCTGATGACTCATGAAACTCGATATTCTTTTAATAATGTGCTCTTAGTATCTTCATTTTTCAATTTTGTATCATAGTTTGAATTATGAATTAGTATATCTTCTCAGAATATTAATGCTGTCATATAGAAACGTGGGAGTCTTTTAATGTACACATGCAGTCAGAATTCCATCACATAACAAGATATCTTATGGCACAGTTGATGGATCTGTTCAGGTAATAGATTATTAATGTTGCTGTTACAATATGTGCCCTGATTTCTTGAATGTGTACTGGACCCCTGATCTGATTCATATGAAAACCTCAAAATAATTGTTATGTACTCATACGAATTTGTATTACACAGTTGTATGAGGAATTAATTTTTAATGCTCTGTTTCTAACAATGTACTTGCTAGTTGATAAATCTCTGATAAAAGTTAGTGAGACTGTTTTCTGGCTTGGAGCAGTCTTATCTGTGCTGTCATCCAATGATCAAAAAGGTGAGGCAATAAAGTTTGCGCATATGTACTATGCAAGCTGAAAAGATGGCATTGATTTTTGGGTGGCTGTTACCATTGTAGTTGGTACGCTGAATGTTATTGCCTCCCTGTATGAACAGTGGATTGGTCGAAGTCAGTGAGTTCTGTCTGCCATTTACCTCACCTTTTCTTAAGTGGATGATGGTATAACAGTTATTACAGAGATTGATTTTTGCTTCTCAGTAATAGTACCGTTTGACTTAATGGTTTCTTAACTGCCACACCATGTTTTCACTTAACTTGTAATTTACATTATTCATAATTTCGGTAAGACCTACTGTAAGAAGATTTGTAGTTGCAGTTGCACAATTGGGCATTACACTCAAGTTTCAAGAAAGTGCCTCAAATTCTGGGGCACTAAAATTGGTTTTTATGTGATGGTTTGGGGCTAATATTGTATTATATGGCAAGAACGAGTTTGTGTGAGGGAAATGGAGGTATGTTTCAGTGCCACAGAATGTACGAATGCTGTAGGCCAAATCAGAAGGTTAAGTAGAAACTGCGAATCTCAGCGTCTTGACAGTCACCAGAGTGGGACTTATAGAAATTTTGAAAACTAAACAGAGATGGATGCACAGGCAGTATACTGCCATTTATTTTCATGAACATATTCTTTTTTTGAATTCTATTTTTGTTTTCCCAGTTTTGGCTGCAGTCTCTCATCCAAGCTGACCTGACTCACTCCCTTATGCAGTGGGTAGTAGGGTGTGTTTGTTAGATAAGGTGGATGGAGCATGAAACTGGCCTCGTTTAATATAAAGGTCTTAGACTGTGTGGATCTTTACCTCCATGCCCTCCACCGTTCTTTTATGATGTTATTGGTTACTGGTCCACACTTTGTCATCCATTCAGCCAGTACTACTCTGCTGTACCCATTCAGCTAGAGGGGGATTTAATGCATACTCACCCTTAACCATATCCTGTATTGCAGCTTTGCTGAGATTACAACTATGACTCTATGGAGGCCACAGAAGGAAATCCCACAGGTCGATCCCCTCCATACCTTGGTCAAGTGGTTATGCTTCCTTCTTCAGTAATATTACCATTCTGTTTACAGGACTGTTGGTAATAATATTTGTTCCTGACATGCACTTTAGACTGGTTGACATAAGCCAGAGGGAGCTGGGGGAGAAATACAACAGCAGACAGAGAGGGAGAGAAGTCTCACACACCACACCATTCAAGTGGTCAGTATGACTGGAGCAGTTGATGAAGATGGGAATGTTGTCAGCTTATGCAGATGCACAGTGGACCTGTGGCACCACCTGCAGAAATGTAACATGAAGTGTGTATATGCTGTATGGTTCAGAGGGAGCCTGACAACACTTCAAGGGGCAGGTGACATGAGAACACTTTAGCCTTGAAGATGGAGGCATATATTTCTCTGAAATGTCTGGCTGTCTCTGAACTCCACAGCATTGCAACCCAGAAAAGCTTTGCTCTTCATAGCTGCCAATGTGAGGGTACCATTTCAGCAGATAACACTGACTGCTTCTGTTTATTACTGAAAGTGCAGCATATGCTCTGAATGAGAACAACTGTATAAAACCTTCAGAGTTCTAAAGCTATTATGAAAGCACTTCATTGCAGTATCAATACAAGTTCTCAGATTTTCATGACTGAATGTTGAGATTGTGAGCTTATGGGTTGTGACACTGTGTAGTACTGCTGGTGGGTATCAGCACTCTAACCTCAAGCCATCTCCTGCCCCCTTTCTGTGTAATCTGGTCACATCCTCTCCAAATTCACTTCAACCCTGAAGATGGAGGTAGCTTATGCCTCTGAAATGTTGGTATACACTTACAGCATTAGATGGTATCACAACTCAGAAGGCCACAATCAACATTGTATTGATGTGTGCACTCCGCCCTCTTTCATCATGAACCATATTTATTCAAATACCTGTATGGATTATAATTTATATGTTTCTGTAATCCATAATTGTGTGCATCATATAAAAAGTAAAGTCCCTGTACTTAATTAAGCACCATGCTATAAGGCATATGGCAGTGAAGGTATAGTCACATCCTTTCTTAACCTTCATCACTAGACAGAGCTGTGTGATCAGCTACATGCCTTGGCCACTCTGTCTCAAAGGAAGTGGTTTCTCTGAAATGTTAGTACCTGTCTACTAAACCACATGACCTCACATCGCAGAAGAACGTGATCTTGGTGTTGCGAGGACCTTGCACCTCTTACGTGTTCTAAAATGTATTTGAGTAAAGTGTCATGTAGAATTAGTTGAACTATATTTTTCAGTACACCCAGTATTCCAATGTTTTTACATGTCAGCAGCTTCGTACTGTATGCTCGAGAGTCAGGGCACCGGGATGCAGTCTGTAAGAAAGGAGTGCCTACCATCCACAAGCTTGTGTCGTCCCATGGCTGCTGGTCACCTTAAAGTGTTGAATGTTAATAGAGTATTTTGTGTTTGTAGGTCTCAGGTGTTAAGATTTATCATTATTTTAATTTCTTTGATGGTAATTCCATAGTGTGTTTAGTGAGTGTGCACGATGGATAACTTGACGACTCAGAGCTAAGTAACCAAAGTTTGATCATTACCACTGACCTGCAGTATAATTTTATTTCTAGTCATAATTCGTTTTATTTTAAGGTGGCTGAAAATGTCAGATCTGTAAGGATTTTTTTTTAATATGTGGTTGAGTTTTCATGTCAGACTGGGAGAAAACTCAGGAAAATTGTGTACATAATTTATTAAATTTGTGAAAGTATGGCCATACCATACACCATGAATTTAAAAAGATGAACTTACTGATTTTGTAACATAGTCATATGGAACTCATCCTTTTTTTTTTTTGGCTTGGTTTGCCTTCAGTCTACAATTGTGAGTATAATGGTTTGAAATGGCCCCATTTACACAGGCCATTTTGTTACTGACAATATAATTGCTGTGTTTTGGTTTATTGATCACTACAGTGTATCTTCTAAATAAAATAATAGTTAAAAAAGAGTATGTTTATGTCCTTTGGATAAGAAGGTGTGTCTGTTTTTATGTTTCTCTTGTCAATATTAATATGCTATGATAATTCACAGTACATTCCCTCTTTGGCCTTTTAAGAGAACAAGCAAGGGCTGAGCTTTATATAGTACTGCACTCACATAACCTAGAATACTGTTCTTAAACACAATGGCCACCCATGCAGGAATGTGTGTGTGTCTATGAAATGGAACTTGTTTCACACTGATGATCTCAGGTCAGTCATATTTAGAAAGTCAGCTCATCTGATGCAGAAGAGATCGATCCGCTATGAACCTTTTGTTGTCACAGGAAAATGCATACCAATATGGGCAGAGCATTAATGTCCCGACTGGAATTTGAGGCCAACTATATAGGTTGCCAGATACTGTATACATCTATGACAATGCAGCCAGCTGGCTCAGCCTTCATCCTTGCTGATACATATTTCTGTTTTACAGTGTGCTGTCAGGAGGGACTGGAATTGAATGATCCCAACTGAGTGTTGATGGCATTAATACAACCAGTAAAGAAATAACAAGTGAAGTTGTGCGTGTGCTTAGTTCAACACCGCACTAAGAATATGTACAGGGTGTAAATAAAATGAAGTATATGAGAACATACAAAACAACATCTGCCAGAAGAGTGACATTGTAAATACAGTTAAATAATTTGAAAATATTTCAAAATTTTAATATGTGGGATGAAAAACGTTAAAAGAAAATGACTGGATTAGGAGTAAATTCTGGAAATTCGTGTCCTTTTTCAAAAAACCTATCTTGAATACTTCAGAACACCAAAAACATTAAAATTCAGTAGTATGTTGAAAGAATACATGTTGGTAGTGTTTATGGAGGTAAGTAAAAATGCTTTCAGTTCCACACATAAAAAGCTGCAGTCATGTTCCCTGTGGACATAAACATGGAACCTTCAGAAGGTAAGTTCGCTGCCTCATCCCTGAGACCAACACATCTACTGGTTGAATTTGCCTATAAAATTACATGTGCAATGAATTTACAACTATCCTCAGAGCCTGATTGAAGAGCACTTTATGATCAGAATCAATGTAGAATAAATCTTTACAAGACCCAGTCATGTTACATGACTTAATATGAATGGTATGTATAAAGCTCAAGACTGGATGTACCAAAGTGTTAAACCTGTACTGAATACAGCAGTCATGACAAGCATTAGCTCAGTGGTAAAGCAGTTGGCTTATATGCATGAGAACATGGGTTCAAGTCCATGTGGAATGGGTATAGAATGTAGTAACCAATCAAGGGGTGGGGCCAAGTTAATATACATGAAATTAGTACTTAATGCACAATTTGCAGGCACAGTAGGAAATGCAAACAAAACCCTGTACTTTTTGTTCCAACGACCTTCATTGTCATTAAATAACTATTTCCTAACCATAGCTGATAAAATTAATACAATACTAATCTTGGCCACAGTATACACGATGATGCTTACAAATATCTGAACTATCTGTCTCAGGCTTTCACGACTCCCTTCCCAAAAATTAAACTTAACTATACATCTACCAAAGAGATTGAAAATATTATCAGGTTCTTAAAATAAAAAAATTCTAATGGATATGATAAAATATCCATTAAAATTCTAAAAATTAGCACCCCATTTATAAGCTCTCCTCTAACTCATATCTGCAATAGAGTTCTCTCAACTGGTGTCTTACCCTCTTGGCTGAAATATTTTGAAATAATACCACTATTTAAAAATGGGGACAGAACTAATATGACTAACTACAGACCTATATCATTACTATCATCCTCAAGAGTTATGGACAAGGTTATATATATATATATTGAACTGAACCAACATATAATGACCAACAACATATTAGTAAATGAACAAAATGGCTTTAGGAGCAATTCATCTACAGGAAAAGCCACGTACAAACTTCTTAATGAAATATTAACTGCGTTGAATAATAAGATACTAGTTGGTGACATTTTCTGTGACCTGAAGAAAGCTTTTGTTTGTGTCAATTATGATATTTTACTATCTAAATTGGAATTTTATGAGATAGTTGGGAGAGTCAATGCACTGGTAAAATCTTACCTCAAGGACAGATACCAAAGAGTTATAATCAAAAATTGGCATACTCGTTCTGAATGGGGCACAGTTAATAAAGGTGTTCCCCAGGGATCTATTTCGGGACCTTTATTGTTTCTTATATATATAAATGACTTGCCAAATACTATAACAGCAAATCCAAACCTGTCCTTTTCACAGATGATACTAGCATTATTATTACTAATTGCTGCCCTGTAAATTATGAAAACAATATTACTCATACTTTAAAAGACACAAATGACTGGTTTGAAGCCAATTTATTGACACAAAATCTTGATAAGACTTATTTTTATACATTATCCAGGCAATGGATATGCACATTGTCCATGGCAACAATCAGCTTGCCAAATCTACCAACACCAGATTTCTTGGATTAATTATTGACAGCATGTTGTCATGGAAAGGACATGTAGGCTGGCTCATGACTAAATTGAGCTCTACATGTTATGCAGTCAGGGCTATTAAGTCTTATATGTCACAGGAAACAATGAGAATGATTTATTTCTCATACTTTCATTCTGCAATGACTTATGGTTTGATCTTCTGGGGCAAGTCAAATTTTCCTTATTTTTAGGCTCCAGAAAAGAGCAATTAGAATCATTACTAATTCTAGGAAAAGCGACTCTTGCAAGAAACTGTTTAAAGAACTGAAAATTTTTCCCCTCCAATCACAGTATATATTTTCCCTCTTGTTATTTATGGCTGAAAACAGAGAACAATTTAAAACTAACTCAAATTCATAGCATTAATACAAGATACAACAATAACCTTCACTATCTTACATGCAATTTGTCAGCACTGTTTTAGTATCAAGGTTTTTAACAGCCTCCCTCCTAGCATAAAGAACATAGCTCATGATATTAAGCAATTTAAATCTGCTTTAAAAAGATTTCTACCCCTTAATTCATTTTACTCACTGGAGGAATATTTTAACCACAATATCGATTAAAGATCCTGGTTCATTACATGCTTAATGAATGGCAGTATATTTCATATTTGATTATTCCAGTTTTGTTTGTTGACAAGTTTGACGCATGCTTGAAATCACACACATTGCATAGCGGTTTAATGACCATACTGGGAGTTGTCTGGACAATATATATATATTTTTTTATTTATTGCACGCTCCAAGACATCCTTACATGGCTGAAGCCCTTGGATACAGAACCGGTCTCACAACAAGCCTGCTAAGTAGCAGGTAGTCGCTAGATAATATATATATATACAACAATATTAACATGATATTAACTTAATACCCTTATATGTACTACAATTACATCACATTGCAATATAATTACATCATAATTTAAATATAAATAAATAACATAAACACTCAATAACAATCCTAGTTAAAATATTCATCCAAAGTATAATAAGATTTACGATGTAAAAAGGCATGTAAAGCCACTCTAAATTGCTTAATATCACAGACCAATTCTTTAATCTTCAATGGAAGATGGTTAAAAAGTTTAATGCCAGAATAATAAGGACCTTTCTGGTAAATTGTTAAATTTGCCTGAGGACAATAGAGATCAAAATTACGCCTCATTTTCAGGCCATGAATTTGCGTTGACTTATGATACAAGCCCATATTATTCACAACAAACATCAATAATGAGAAAATATATTGCGACTGCAACGGCAATATTCCCCATTCCCTAAATGCCTCTCTACAAGAGTCTCTAGGTCTCAACCCACTCATGACTCTAATTATACTCTTTTGAATTCTAAAAATATGCACACTAAGGGGTGAATTACCCCAAAAAATAATTCCATAGCTCAATAGTGAATGAAAGTAGGAATAATACACCATTTTTAATGTCTCAATGGGCAAGATGGGTTTAATCACCCTCATTGAATAACAAGCCTTACATAATTTAGGCCTAAGCTGAGTTATATGAGCTTTCCAAGTGCACGATCTTTCTATAATAATCCCCAAAAATTTAATGTTTATATCATTTAAAATCCCATTATTACAATATCGAATAGAAGTTACATTATTCGTTCTAGGCTTTGTCTCAAATTGAACATGTTTAGTTTTATTAAAATTTAAGGTCAACCTGTTTGTACTAAACCACTCATTAAGACAAGTGAAAGAGGTATTAACATCTTTACTATACTGGCTATTATTCCAACTGCTAATGACTAAGCTTGTATCATCTGCATACAATACTGATTTAACTGAATCGTTGAAAATTGTGGGGAGATCATTTATATAAAAAAGAAAAAGAAGCGGACCAAGGATGGACCCTTGTGGGACTCCGTATCTTACAGTATCCCAGTTAGATCTAGCAGCATGATCAAAGTCAGTGCTGGCTATTAATACTCTCTGTTTTCTGTCTGATAAATAGGATGTGATCAGGTCGAGAAATTTGCCTCGTATTCCATAAAATTGAAGTTTCTTCAATAAAATCTCATGGTTGACACTGTCAAACTCAAATGTTTGAGTGTGTTGTCTAATTGTTCCCAGGCATGTAATATGTTTTGTTGTCACTGTTTATTTTAGTTTACCAGCCAAGTAAGGCTCAATAAGTGCAAATGAAAGAAGGTATGAATGAATAAATATATTATACTGAATGAGATAAAATAATTGTATACTAGTAATTAAATTATACCCATTGGAAGAATATTTTATCTATGGTGTTGTTGTCCTGCTTGCTGTTTTTAACTGTATGTTACTCTATTCACAAGTCTGCCTTATGGGGTTCTATGAATGTATGAATGGAGATTGCTTGCTTTTACTTTTACTTACATATTTTATAACCTTTAATGATGTACTCATTGGCACTGTTTTTGACAAAAGGCTCAAACTGTGATGCACAAGTATAATTAAATTGTATCTACATAATTTATAATCTTATTACTTATTAAATTATAAGATTCCAAAAGCGCAGATCTAGATTGGATTTGGAGAAGTTATATGCTCACAGATAAAGCGTGCAGGAGACCCTAGAAGAGAAACTCAGTGCAATTGAAAGTGAAAGCGGAAATGCTGAAGTGCAGTGGAACAATATAAAAGAATGCATGTTAGATACTATCAGTGATTTGGTTGGTAAAGTTGAGAAGATAGCAAGAAAACCATGGGTTACACAGGAGATGATGAGTAAAATGGAGGAGCGAAGGAAATGGAAGAATGTCAACAATGAAGAAGGCAGGAGGAAATACAGGAGACTGAGGAATGAATTGAAAAGAGCCACGGACAGGGCCAAAAAGGAATATCTTGAGAAGATATGTAATGAGATTATAGAATTTCAAAGAACAGGACGTTATGATTTGATGTACATGAAGGCGATCTAGGATGGAAAGAGAATCATGGGATTCGAAATATTGGCATCGAAGACTCCCAGGGGAATAGAATAGTAGATCAGAGGAAAGTCCTGAAAATTTGGGAAAATTATATTACAGAACTATATGATCGACCTAATGGGCCAG